TGCTAGAAAAGTTTTGGTAAAAATAATCAAGGTCTGCTGTATCTGGTTCTTGTTGACTTAAAGTAGGCATTGTTAAAGGATAATAAGCTAGATAAAGATTATAGACTTAGATATGTTTTCTAAAGAGAGAGTATAGTTATAAATAATTAAATTTATAAGGGTTGTAAATAGATACAGGGGTTGTAGTTTAAGGGTGTCACTGGAATGACACAAAAGTGTAATAAGAGTGGATAGGGTCACTAATGTGACTCGGGTACTGAACACAGGTAGGATTTGCAATGCAAATTACTGTGTAATATTACAAAGGACTAAATATAGAAGTATTTGATTGTATGAATGAGTTTCTATTAATAGGTTGATTACAAAATGTTGGTGTAAATTAATAAGGTATGGATTAAGAAGTGATGGTATGGTTACACGAATGCCGTGTAAGGGAAAAAGGGGACAGGGTAAAGACAAAAGGTAAAAGAAAAAGTTTTACAAGAGAGTAATTATTGAATTTAGTTGTAGTTTAGTCAATATTAAGTCAAAAATCTTTGTTTAGGGCTTGTTTTGACCAGGTAAGTGTATACTACAACTTTAATTAAGAGTATAGGACAGATTAAGGCAGTAAAAACTGCAGAATAGCTAAAAGTTATCAACTGGAGGCCAAAGGCCATCAGTACGATTTTTTCGATGTGTTTGAAATATAAAGACTTAATATTTGCAAACTATATATAAAATGATGTGCTGAACAAGTTTATTTAGAAGCCCAAGATAGGTTTTTTAATAAAATAAAAAGTTATGAGTGTTTTTTGATGGATGAATTTTTAGTTAATTTTTGTATAATGGATTTGCAGAAAGAGTTTTATATCTGCAGAGGAAATTAATATAATCATATATATTTAGATTTATTAATATATATAATAATAAATTATGTTATACTTAGGCAAATAGATTAATTATAGCAATTGTAAGATAGTATAACTATAATATGTTAGTGATGTAATTTCAAAACTAAATAACACTAACTTAGTAAAATACTAATTTATTCTAATTCTTAATAAATAAATAATACTAAATGTTAAGCATGTTCTTATATTAGTTTTTATTAATAGATTTTTTATATATAAACATTTAGTTTAATAATTAGGTTCTATTTCTCTTAGATTTTTTAAAAAAGTTTATTATCAAGGATTTTATTTATTTTTACAATTTAATAAATAATATGATAATACTTTTAAAAATCTATCAGAAAATATTTTTAAGTTGTTTTAAATAAACTGCTAGCTGATAATACTACCAATCTAAAAATTCTAATATAATTTCTCAAAACCTTATTACTAAAGATTATATAATTATTTAAGACTATATAACGTTTTAAGACTATACAACCTAACCTATATGATCTTTCAAGATCATCAAAATCACAATTATACAAAGCATTATAAATACTTAAGAATGTATAATTTCTGGTAATAAAAACTTATAAATAATAAGGAAGAAGAACTTTATTTCTTATTAGAATATATCAATATTATTATTAATGAAAATACTTAAGACCAAAATACTAAAAGGTAAATTAACTTGGTTAACAAAAATTTTAATATATTGTATAAGATGGTTAGTGATTGTAAACAATTTAATAGGCAAAATAAAATGCCAAACATATAGAAGGATCATAATCATAATATATTCTAGATTTCTTAATAACTTTGTAACTTATAATTAGATTTAGAAATGCAAATATAAATATAATTGCTATTGCTTATATTTATAAAATAGTTTTAAATATAATTTTTTTTTGAACTTTAATAAATATATATAATATATCATAATAAATGTCTTTTTTTAAACTTCACAAAACAATAATATTTGTATTAGTATTGTATTTTGAATTTCAAATTAGAAATCTTATAAATGTTATATTGTGTAACAATGAAGTTTATTAGACTGGTAATTTAATTCCTGTTTGCTTCAAACTAATGCTTGTCTTAGATATCAATTAAGCTAATTTAAAAAAATTGATCAGTTAATTTTATTTAAAAAATTAACATCTGAGTCAAGCATTAGTCTGAGATACAACACTTATACAAAAAGAAAAGACAAATTTATTTTATATTAATATTTACTAAATTAATTGAATTTTTTTTCAAATTTTATTAATTTTTATATATGCAATTTATTTTAGATTATGAATTAAAAGTTACATAATTCGAAAAGATGAATGAATGCTTATTTATAGTGTTGATCTGAGTGACCCAAAGCTGAACTAGTTATAACTGGCTTGTTAATGAAGTAATAAGACTAGCATTATTACAAGATTTTATTTTAACATATGACCAAGTATGTATATATTAAAAAGATCATATAAAGGTTTATAATATAATAAAATTCTTTGAAAGATTAAATTTGTATAAAAACTTCCATAAAGGGAAAATTGGGATTTAAAAAAAAATTATCTATTAATATTGATCTTTTTTTTTAGTTTTACTATTGCTTGTCTTATTGATAGACTAGCTTTCTCATAATATACTTAGCATGAACATTTAGTATTAAGTATTAATAAAGAAAAATAAATAAATAAATAAAAGTATAACTAATTATCTGAGCATTAAAATTATGTCTCTAGTTAGTTAAACAAAGATAACACTAAGCAGATTAAAAGATTTATGTTCATTTTGCAGTTTAAATATACATAGTAATAAAAATGAATTAGGAGAAGATTAAGTTCACATTTTAATAAGAAAAGAGAAAAATTCAATCTAATTTAGATAGTATTGATAAAGATGCTAATTTTTAGAATTGTTAAAATATCAAAATGATAGTAATGATAATAACCAAGTTGAAAAAGAAAGAAATCTAGTCTCTAAAAATAATAAAAAATCTTTGAAATCAGAGTTACATTTGGATAATAACTATAATTTTGAAATACAAGTCAAAAGTATATCTAAAACACCATACTTTAAAAATAAAGAATCTAGTTAACAGAATCTTAAAATTAAGAATCTAAGTAAGAAGAATAATTAGCATATAGCTGAGAAAGAAAAATAAATAAGAAAAAAAACTGAGCTATGCAATTAATATATTTCTTTCTGTTTTGAATAATATTGAGAAGAAAATAGATTATAATTTTAAGGTATTACAAAACCAGTATTTTAAAGAAACTGAACAAGAAAGTTTGTTAAATAAAGCATAATCATATATTAAATTGAAAAAACTTTATAAATAATATAAATATTACTTCTTGAATGGAGTTGGGAAATGGTTTGATAAAGCTATAGCAAAACTACCTAAATATAACCAAAAGAGCATATTGCTATTAGAAAGAAAATTAAATCACATGCAGTTACTTTTTATCTTACAAATGACAATGAATGGAAGGTAGCATTATAAGTAGTTGGCAAAAATAATAAAATAATACAAAAATACAAAGATCAAATTGAAATAGTAACAAGTACTTTATCTTCAAAAAGAGTAAACACTTGGAGCTATAGTTAAAAGTTTTTTAAAAATAATTATAAGAAGTTACAAGCAAAAAAAAAATATAAAGGAGAATTAGGTTCTATTTCTTCAGATTTGGGGTCAGAAGAAAGGAAGTTAGTTTTTTATAATAAAAATAGAAAAAGAAGAAATGAATATTATACCTTTTACAATAAAAAAGCAAATAGGTCTAATAGATCAAAGTCAATTACATGTTATAACTATAAAGGAATTGGACATATCTTGCCTAATTGTTCTTCAACTAGCTTAAAAACATCAACAGAAAGATTCAAGTTTAAGCAAAATAATTAACAACACTTAGACAATAGTACAAGTAAAATAGAATATACAACAAAGCAATTTAGAGCAATCAGTAATGAGAAGAATTCATATAGTTTTATTTCTAACATATTGGCATCAGAAAATAAAGCTCTCACTAGTAATTTTAGAATGATTAAAGAATGGAGTGCTGCTTTGGCCAAAAGAAATTATGCTATTAGCAATAAAACCAGATCTGAAGCAATATCCAATAACTACAGAACAAGCAGAGTAGATCGAAAGTGAATTAGAACATTTACAAAAAACAAAAGCAATTTATTAGTTAGAAAATTAAATAAAGTAACCAGAATTTTTACTAGAAGCAAGTCTAGCATTCCTTGTACTAAAAAAAGATCACAAAAAGTAAAGAATAGTAATAAATCAAAGATAATTAAATGCTACACTACATGAAAGAAACTTTCACTTTGAATGGCTACAAGGTTTCTTATTCACAATTGGAAAGAATTGGTATATAATTATAATAAATCTAAAAGAGGACTACTATTATGTTATAATGACAAAATATGTACAACATTTTTTGAGATTCAAAGTTTTAAACAATTGGTATTATTACAGGATATAATCCTTTGGACTTTTACAAGTAGTTTGGATTTTCTCAAAAATTATAAGAGCAATTATAGGCCACTAAAGGTCTTTAGGAATTTTCTATAAAAACTATGTCAATGATATTTGAATAGCACATTCTTGCAATAAAACATTAAAGCAAATAAGAGATATGATAATAAAAACATATTTAGTAAATTGTAGTTTTGTAAGAGAAAAATGCAAGAGATAATAAAAACTAATACAGCAATTAAGATTTTATGGTCTAATTATAAATGCATATGAAGCAATAGTAATTGTTTCTCAAAAAAAATTGTAAAAATACAAAAGTTACTTTTGGAATATATCAAGACAGAATTAATTTCTTTTTATTGGCTGGCAATAGTAGCAAGAAAAATACAATCCTTGAGTAAAGCTTTTACTTACACAAAAGTGCATTGCCTAGAATTCTATTTTCTAATAAATGTAATAAACAAAAAATATTAGAACTAGGATATACATATAAAATTAACAAATCAAGCCTAGAAGGATGCAGAATAGTTAGCTCAAAATATAGTATTAAAAAATAAAAAACTAGCTTAAAAGCCATCAAAAATAAAAGTACACTATGTTAATTAGGAATGTTATCCTATTCCAACTAGTTAGTTTGTATTCAAAAACTTAATTGAATATTGTTCAAAGCATATATGTAAAACTGGTTATTGGACTCAGTTTATACAAATATATTAATATTAATAATTGTGTTTGCTTAAACAATTTAATAAAGCCTGCTATTTATTGAAACAAATATTTTATAAAATATACATATTATGCATATACAATATTTATTATAGCTATGTATTATTTATTTATTGACCTGTGTAATAGTACTTAATTTAATACTATTCTATACAATCGATGATGCCTAATTCATACTATGTCTTTAAACAGAGACTTGCAAATGCATTTTCTTTAGATAGTTGATTATGGATTAGATTAATTGTATTTTTGACTTTGAAAAACATTTCTTTGCTAGATACAGAGGAGGCTTGCACAACCAAATAATCATATGCTATTTGTGCAAGTCCAAAATAGCATATGTTAGCTAATTGTGTTTTCCAAAAGTCTAATAAATTACAATTTTCTTTAATAGCTATAAGATATTCTTCTAGAACATTGAAAGTATTATTTAATTTTTTATTTTGATGTTTTCTAAAATAATTTCTTAAAAAGTCTATATTGTCTTTGGTAATAGATATGTCAAATTCTTTATATTGAGTATAAGTACTATATAGAAGTTTGTGTACAGTTATTGTTATCTCACTATCAAATGAAGATAATTTTATATTTGGGTCTAATACAACTAATATATAACAACAAATTCGAAGAATATTCTAATAATCATCAAGTTTTTTATGCATTCATTGTACAATTTAATTTTTTATTGAAATTTACTATGCAATGCAAATCTCCTATTGTTGGATAAATTAATAATGATAAAATAGTAGTTGCTTTTGCCATAGGTTCAAGTAGTGTAATAACAATCTAAAGATAAGTAAATTATTTATAAATTTTTAATAAAATATATAAAATTAAAATATTAACTTCAATTTCATTCTATTTAGCTTTATCAAAATACTGAGTTTTTAAAGTAGAGTTATCCTCATCAAGATCATTGACCATTTGATAAATTCAGAATATCATTTCAATTATTATATAAGTACTGTTCCATTGCATCAATATGTCCAAGTTGAGTACAAGAAAAGATTGTCTATTTATTTGAAAGATTCTTTTAAAATCCTCAAATAAAGGTTAAGATTTGCATATATAATTTACAAAGCTTCATAACTTTGTAACTAAATTGACAACAACTTTCATCTTTTCTACTACTGCAAGATTTAACACATGAGCTACACAACACACATGATAAAATTCCTTATTACTATTATTATATCAAAGTTTTTTGCAAAACATATATCCAAATACATTCATGCTAGATATATTGTTCATAGTTGCAGATATAATACAAAAACAAATATTATAAAATAAAATAGTATCTAGGATTTTTTCTATTATGTAATTACCTGTATATCATTTATAAAGAAGTATCATATTCAATAAAATTCTTTTCATAACTCAATTTTTATCAATCCAATGAAATATAAGAGCAAGAAACCCAAGATTAGTACATGAGGTCCAAACATTTATCATAATTGAAAATTTTTGTTGATTTGAATTAAAAAAATTATGAAGTTCACTTTGTTTATTATAAAACATGATTAAAATATTTTATGAAACAAATTACCTAGATAGAAATAATACTATTGAGTTAATTGATTAATAAATTGTTGAAATTCTTTGTTTTTAACAAAATAAAAAGCTTGCTGGTCTGTGATAATTCATTTTAAGAGATATTGGTTAATTTTAAACATTTTATCAACACTATAAAGCTTAATGTTGGCTCTAATAATTAATATAAGTTCTTTATATCAATCTGCATAATTATGTCTAAAATATGATTTAATAGTAAAAAGGCCAGTATTCATTAAGTAAGATGTTTTGTAATGCTATTTATTACTGGTTTCAACAAGTTTATTTCAGAAAGGATCTTTTTTCAATCATTTTGAAGGATGGTTTGTTATTTCTGAAATGGTTTCAGATTCAAATATATTTTAAAAGCTTGAAGAGGAATGTTCAATTGGATTTATAAATTATTCAAATACATTTTCTTCATCCATTTTACAAAGTTAGATAAATAAGTAAAATATATGTAAACAAAAAAAAATTACTTATTTATCTTTTAATGCTGTAGTAATTGATTAAAAAAAAGCTAATATCAGCATAATACTTTTAATTAAAGAGTCTATCTTTGTCATATTAATATAACACTATAATAATTAACCAATTAAAAAAGAGTATTTTTTATCAATGACAATATTAATTAAAAGTCTAAAGTCAATTACTAATCAAGTATTTTACTAATCTAATTAATTCACAACTCAATTTAAGCAGAAGAAGCTTAAACAATATAGTAAAAATTACATGACTATAAAAACTCAAGTTTAATTGCTTTAGGTTTCAAACAGGGTTGAATCAAGTTCAGACAAGTAGAATAACATTTCTAATATCAATGCTTTAAAAATAGGTTAAACAATAATATTTGAAAAGAACCAAGTATTTGAAAATTAAAAAAAATAACATTTATACAGAGAGATAGTAAAACTTAAAGCAAAAGCTATAATATTGAAAATAAAATTCTTTTCAAAACTATTAAGTTAATCATAGATTAATATACATATAGACAATCATATAATTCTAGTTACAGTAATAAAAGAAAAAAAGTTATCATAGCAAAAAGCCTTATTAAGAGAGTTTTGGAATTTGCTAAACAAGCATGATATTTGGTTAAATGAGACCTTCTAGGTTCTATCAAAAATGAACCCAGTTGACAAGTTAACTTAAATGTTAGACCTATCTGATTGAAAATTGGCATAAAAGATGTTTATAAATTTGAAAATAAAATAGAATTCTCATACTATAGACAGAATGCCAAATTATCACAATACAAAGCTTGCAAGGTTCAACAGTCATCTTTATTGTTTAGAAACTAAGGCAGCAAATTGTTTTACACAAAACTAAGAAGGCAAAAACAATTATATATAGCCTTTTTAGGTTTAATTCATTATATATTTCAGTATATAATAGAAAAAAAAATATCAGCAACAGTAATTATACCAAAAATGGATGTTAGCAAAGTGGTAGCTAATGTTCTTATAATATCAAACTGACTATATAGAAATTCTACTATTACTGATAGCATTTGAAATGGGATTGTCAAAAGAGGTGAAACTATAGTGAAACAAAAAGTAACAATAAGAATAAATTAATTAGAAGTTTGTTAGATAAAACAAAAATTTTAGTAAGAAAAGCATGTTCAGAAAACTGAAACAAAAGACTAGATAGAACATAGAAAACTTATATAGAATTTTGTTAAATTATAGGCCAATATGATTAATCTTTTTCAGAAAATTTTCTTATTATGTTTAATTTGGTTAAATTTAACCGATACTGTATTAAGTTGTATAACTATACTGGTAACTGTATTAAAAGAGCACTTAGAAAGATCATTACCTGATTTATCAAAATTATATAATATAAAGAAGGTTTATAAAACACTAATAAAGAAATTAAGAAAGATAGAAAGCCTGAATGGTCATATAATCCATTGCCTATATTTGTGTTCAAGAAAATTTGTAACTAATAAACCACAATTTGAGACAAAAATATATAGATATATGATGCAACATTAATTGCATTAAGATTAAAAATGATGTACAGACAAGTAAAATTATATAATTTGAAATTGAAGAATATAAAATTTGATAAAAATTTATGTTAAATACAAATATATAATTCAAAAACAGACTCATTTTCAAATAGAAAATTTATTCTTATTGAAACTTCTAATAGTCTTTGTTGTCTAATTAGACTACTTAAAAATATTTATTAATCAGACTGAAAACCCACAAAAATTGGTCACTATTTTTTTTAAACAAAAAGAAGAAAATGACTGTTGAAGCTATTAAAACTATTGTAAAAAGAGTGACTGAGAATGCACAGTTATTGGGGTGATATATAGCATACAGTATTAGAAATGGTGGAACTATAGCAGCAATGGAGGTAGACTAATCATTAACTCAGATCTGTGCAATTAGAAGTTAGAACAGTAAGGCAGTTATGTTGTACTTATGATCAATAGGTACAGTACAAATGAAGATGTTAAAAAGAATAAGATTTTTTTTTTTAAAAAAAAAATTAAATAAATAAAAAGATAATAAATAATAATAATACTAGAAAATTTGAGCCATTATTCTGATCCACTTCTTGTTCCTATATGTTTATTTCTAATATACAATTTATAATATATGCATAAATAAATTGTAAATAATCAAGCAATAATAATGACTAGCTTGTCAATGAAGTAACAAGACCAGCATTATTGCAAGATTTCATTACAACATGTGACCAAGTATGTATATATTAGAAAGGTCATGTAAACTTTTATGATATAATAGAATTTTTTGAAAGATTGAATTTGTATAAAAATTTCTGTAAAGGAAAAATTAGGATTTAAAAGAACATTATCTGTTAATATTGATCTTCCTCTTTGGTTTTACTATTGCTCACCTTATTGATAGGCTAGCTGTCTCATCCTACTCTCACCACCCATTGATATAAATGTTGAGCTGAAAGCTTCAATTAAGAAACTTGTTTTGTGATTATTATAATAAATTTAGATCAAATATTATAGAAATAGTTCTGTGATTGTTGTAAAAGCTATAGCTCACAGATGTTAGTAGCAGTTTGTGACCATCGTAATAAATGTGACTCACAAACTGTAATATCAACTCTGTAACTATTATAGTAAGTGATGGCTCACAGACTGTAGCAACAGCTCTGTGACCATTAGTTGTTTAAAAGTAAATAAATTGTGACTCAAGACTGTATTTGCAGCTCAATAACCACTTGATATAGCAAACTCCATGACTAATTAGTAGTATATATTTGGAGTTATATGTGAATATGTATATATTTTATATATGTAAGAAAAGAAAAAAATAGAAATGCAAGAGAAAATAGAAAAAGTGGTGAGTAATATAGTTTTGTCAATAAGCATCAAATATAAATGCATATATCTAACAATACTCTTTATTCGCTATATGAGCAATAATATGCTGGCAAATAGGCATGAAGAATAACACTGATAATCGATTTATGGGTTTAACTTGATGTTTAAAGGAGCAGGTTTAGGCTTATATATTAAGTTTAATGTTAAGAAAATGCTGGCAAATGCCATGCTATAGTGAAGCGAACCATATTCCCATATGTTTATTTCCAATATACAATTTATAATTTATGTATAAATAAATTGTGAATAATCGAGCAATAATAATGATAAATTTATTATAACCGGATCAATTTCCAATTTTTCAGATCAACCTATACGGAGTATTACGCGTTCGTATTTTGATGTCATATGGGACATATTGAACAAAAATTAAAAGAATGAAGTTAGATTAAACATGTAAATTATATTATAAACGACAGTGTTTTATCTGAATGAGTGTTATTTTTTCAACTGTGCGATAATGGTTTTGTAGAAATATTTAGAACCTATCAAAATATAGGATTCTTAATAACCTATGTCTCGGAAGAAATTGATATGCTAACTCAGCAATTTACTTTAGTGCATATTTAAAATCGATTTTGCTAATTAGAACTTAATTTCTATTCCTTAATTTCAATGAGTAATGAAATTACTTTAGAAATTCCATTATATCAATGTATCGATATCAATGATTCAGGAACTATATTAATTTAATCCGATAAATAAATTTCAATTCCGGCTGGAAAAAATATATTTATAATAAAACATGTTAAGAACATCAAAGACTTAAAATTTTTAACATGTCTTGAAAAAAGGCACCAATTCTCGAACTTAAAATATTCCAAAATTTGTTCCCTTTATATTATGTGCTATACCCCCATTTTCCATTTTTGTACTCGAATTATAAGAAAGAACTAATTAAAATACCTAAGGTTATTACTGTGAAATACCAATTTCCATTTTTCAAGATTGATGCTAAAGACATTGTGGAATTTTCCGAATCGCCGTAATATTGACGTTTACTGTAAATTATGGGATGACGACGTTTGTATATGTTATAATGACGTTTGGATTTATGACGTTTATTGTATGGAACGGGAGGATTACCAATGACAACAAAAGTATTTATATCGTATGTATAAATTTCAATCTCTTCATCCTGACTTATAAGAGCTCTGCTTATATTAAGATGATCGATTGTTGTAGAATTATGCTTAGCATTTGATGTGATTATTAAGACGGATATTAGGAAAAGTATGTGAAAAGTAAGGAAAATGCGCATTTTCTAAAGAAATTAGTGGGTTATTGAATTATTAGTTGAACTCAAATTATGTTCTTAAACAATAATTCATCGTGAGAATGATGGAATAATTAGCGAAAGAAAGAAAAAAACAATATATTGCAGTATATATGCGCGAGCTGGTTGTGGAATTGATAATTTAATCTGCTTGTATTACAATTTATGCCAAGCTAACCATTTATTGCCTCGCTTTTGTCACCCAAATTTATATTGCCAACAGGACATGGATACACGAATAATATGTTAGTAGTTACACGAATGGCATTTTCTAGATTGTAAGCTGGCGCTGTAAGTACGTACATAATTTCATTGGTTCTCAGCACAAGGATTGTTGTTTTTTGCACCCTTTGCATAAACGTGCCAAGCAAGCTTTAGTAGCTATAAATGTATGTTGCAGCAATAACTATTCATTTTTGTTATAATCATTTGCCCTATCGCTATTCTTTTCCATTTACTTTAACGTCAAATAAAACCGCCATTACAAAATGATCCACCCCATGATTTATCTATTTATCCTGTTCTATAATCATTTAAGTAGGGACAGATTCTTTATATAATACTTTGTCTTTATACATACAATTTTATATTTATAAAAGTTTTTATTAGGTCAACAAACAGCCACCAGTCATACACTTATAGTATGTACGATGAATCATAAGATGCTGAATATAAACTCAATTTCTAATTGATGTTTAACGGATTAAAATATATGAAATTTGAGTAGTACACTATAAAGCTCGTACTACAAAATATAATTTGAGAATACTGTAAACAAATTAAATTTAATAAATTTATTGTAAGCATAAGAATAGTGACCGGGTGGGTATCATCCGCAGGTAGGTCAGTTAGAGATGGCAAAAAAAATTTTCATCGATTTAAATTAGATGGTGCCATTTACATTAAAACATAAGCATCACCTGATTTAACTCATTAAAATCTTTTCTTTTTACCATCACTAAAGTCGATTAACAGGATGAAGTTTTTGATGTCTAAGTACTGTGAGCCATCTGAAGACCAACTCACGAATGACCTGTGAAAAATCGTACTCTATTTATTCTATTAGAAAGTTTTTGGAATAGGAGAAAGCGAACGACCATAAATGATAAGGTCATTGGGAATGTAAATTGAGAGGTCAGATTTTAAATGGCTCAGATGACCCAAGTGGCGACTTTTTAAACAGAATTTAAATGGATTTCCAAATTTCCTTCTCACTTACAATATATATATTTTAAAAAAAGCTTATGTAGAAAAAGAAATAGCCCTTCTAATTAATAATTTTAGCTTTATTCTAACAATTTATAAGATGTAAATACTGGAATAAATATGAAGCTAATTGAAATCATATATAAAATTCATGAATTTGAATAAATTAAAAAAAATAAATTTAAAAAATTGAATCAATTATAAGAATTATTGACAAAAAGTTTCCTCGCGAAAATTAGCCTTCTAATAATATTAGCAAACCGAAATTATTATAAAGAAAAGTTTAGTCTTATAATAAAGTAATTTGCAAAAACCATTATTTCGAATAGAATCCTTATGTCTAATATAAGAACTTTAGGTTTGTATAGAATGCCAGCGCATGTTTCATAGAACAATGCCTCCATGGAAAATGTGCATTTTGAATGAATTAATTGCGACTTTAACGTTAATGAATTATATAACAAGTTACTATTTTGGGCACATTCACACTTGAAAAGACATGCATGAATGCAATATTCACGGGATAAAATTTGACAGATGTAGATTTGCTTCTGCAATAGCCTATCTAGTATATTGTCAGCATTAAATTTTTGTACGTACGTAATTTACAATGATATTTATAAATAACAATAATTCAGCAGTATCTATTGGCTGTTTTGCATCGAATAACTATTAATTGTTTAGCTCTAAACTAGAAGCGTGTATAAAGGCCCGTGCATGCGTATGTGCGTATGTAAGTACGTATAAAACATGAAAATAACACGTCAAAAATAAAAAAAAATTTGCAACTGGTCGAGATTTTCAATATTTGCCGTAAGAAAGAAAAGTAGGAATGATCCGCTGTTGCTCACTTTCTTGAAGCCCATCTCACCAAATACTATTTCTCCGACTCCAATATCCCTTTTTCCTGACAAACCCCATTTCTGACAACTTATTTTACCAATAGTTTATTTCACCGACAAAGTAATTTCGGTTAGAATTAGAGTTGAGATTAGTACGATTTTTTAAAAAAACTTGTCAGTGAATTAATTTTCAGTGAAATGATTTTCGGTGAAATTTCTGTCCTGTTAGTAAAATGGGATTGTCGGTATTACGACTTCGGAAAGTCAACCCCGGAACCGAATGATCATCATAAGAATACCAGTAATTAATTTTGTAATCGATATACAGATCTTCTACCTCGTGAAAATGCTTGTTATATTTAACGATATGTGCTACGCACTAACAAATTAAATTGTAATAATCATGTCTATAACGTTATCACATTCTCGAAAAGAAAGTTTGACCACGAAAGCACGTACTGGCTCTTTGATAACCGTTTTTAATGATTTTTCTAGATTTAGTAACGAAATAGAAGATTATGGTGAATGTTTTGATTGCGGCAAAAAAAATACAGGTTTTAACTGGTGTCAAAGTTGTAATTCACAACATTTTTGGCAGTGTTTTATGAATTGGTCAAGTGGAAATCGCGAGATAGACGAATTTGTTCGAAATTCTCAATTCACGCTACATCAAGGGATCGAGTTTTTGAATGGATTCCATATGATCAATTAATAAAATTTGAAGTTCTTGGAAAAGGTGGTTTTGGTGTTGTTCAAAGGGCTACATGGGTAGATGGACAAATTGATCAGATAATAGGTTGGAATTATTTACAAAATCGATGGGAAAGACATGGTAAAACAAGAGTTGCCGTAAAGATATTGGATAATTCTAGAAAAATAACAGTAGATTTTTTTACAGAGGTATGAATCTCTTTAGATCGATGACATTATTTAATTTTTTTCTGATATTCATGTGTATATGCATTTTTAAAAAAATCAATACCTTAACTTTCATAGCACATATCTTGATGAATTTAGAAGCTAGTTTAATTATTTAACATTCAAAAGACAGCTTGGGATCTAAGCTTATTGAATAATTAAATTATCTTCAAAATTCATAGATATGAGCTGTGAAATTTAAGGTATTGATTTTTTTTAAAATATCAATTTTCCTGATTTCTATTGACGGAAGCCCGTGTTTTTTTTTTATATAAGATTATTCCACAAATTCAATATGAACCTATCATTCCTAAAAGCTTGATGTTTCATCTAATAAGATACCTTGGAATTTCAAAAAATCCTGCTACACAAAATTATGCAATTGTAATGCAATATGCAGAAGGTGGAAATCTTCGAAATTATTTGGAAATAAATTATTCTACATTAACTTGGGAAAAAAAATTATTTATGTTGCAATATATTGCAGAAGGATTAAAAATATTGCATGAAGAAGGTTTACTTCATCGAAATTTACACAGCAGTAATATTCTTATTCATAATGACATTCCCTTGATGGGTGATGTTGGTCTTTGTCGTCCTGTAGACAAATTGATTCAATCCGACGAAAAAGAGATATATGGAATTATGCCATTTATGGCACCTGAACTCTTGAAGACTGGCATATATACAAAAGAGGTTGATATTTATAGCTTTGGTTCGATAATGTGGGAAATATGTGAACACCAACCGCCATTCAACAAACGTCCTCACAATGACAACCTTGCCATGGAAATATGTCTTGGAGAACGACCGCTAATTGAGAAAGAAACACCAGAATCACTTGCTGTTTTGATTAAAAAATGTTGGGATTCGAATCCAAATAATAGACCAACAGCTAATGAATTATTTTTCATTATTAAATCATGGTATTTAGATCTATTACAGGAAAGTCCAACAGAGTATTATTTTGAATTCAAAGCTGCAGATAAAATCAGAAAGGATATGTTACAAACGATGTCACAACCTTGTTCCATTAAAAATCATTCTGAAGCACATTATCGAAGTAGAAAATTTAATTTTACAAATTTTTCAATGATTAATCAATCGTGAGTGTATGTTATTATTATTTTTTTATTATTATTGCTTATACGTATTAAATTAAAATTAACATTTCTTGAAAATGATAATGATTTAGGTATTAAAAATTCGCATCTGAATTCTATATAATATTAGTTTTCTGAGTCTTAAATTAATCCTTTATTTAGGAGCATTTGACAACACAAATGCCAGAATTGATGGAATAAATATTATCGAGAGTATATGAGATTGCTTTTTTTTTTCTTTTAACGTTTTAAAACGATGGATTTTGTTATTCTTATTTTATTTTTTCTTCTAACATTAGATTTTCTTGTGGGATGATTAAAGACATACATATTTTAAAAAAGAATTCATCTAAATAATTATATAATTATTTTATAATCATAACAGAAAGCATACATATCATTAATAACTTAAGCCATTGTAGAGAATTAAATAAAGATCTCTCTACACAGATGCAGAATTAATCTATTTTATTTTAATCATCTTCAAAATCCAATAGTAGCTGTTGCAACCTTTTCGTGATGTCGTAAGCAATATGGTACAAACCGTCCAAAGGCATCAAATTTATTAGTTATTTTTCCTCAATAAAACCTTAAAAGTTGCAAAAAAAATACGTAATTTGCTAGCTTTTGATGTCTATTAAAGTATGTATTTTATCTTATATGCATTGGAGTGTTGGTGCTGTTACCAGGCAATGTAACATAATTGTAAGGGTTGAGTATTGGGTATTTGGATAGAATGGCTAAGAGTCTGTTGGTTCATACTTTTGTATATAGTTTTTTGTGTGTCTATTAAACTAATAGGACAGGTGTTGTTAAGATTGTCATCAAAATTTGCTTTTTTGATGTCTATCAAAGTATGTATTTTATCTTATATGCACTGGAGTGTTGGTGCTGTTACCAGGCAATGTAACATAATTGTAAGGGTTGAGTATTGGGTATTTGGATAGAATGGCTAAGAGCCTGTTGGTTCATACTTTTGTATATAGTTTTTTTGTGTGTTCTATTAAACTAATAGGACATGTGTTGTTAAGATTGTTATCAAAATTTGCCTTTTTGAGATTAGATAGATTCTACTGTTTTTTTATTATTTAGAGATATTTTTTGTATTAAGATATTTGTTAAGTAGATGTGTAATTGCTTGTATTATGTGTAGTTTACAATGTTTTAACATTTCATAGCTTATGCCAAGAAGTTCACATGCTTTGTTATTAGATAATTGTTTGATAGTATTTAGAATTTTTTTTGTGATAATTGGTTTAAAAGTAAAGCATACTAATTCATATTATTGAAGCTTTAGGTTTGTACTTATCAGCCCAGTGTTAATTAAATATCTTTGTTTAATAAAAGTAATGTTTAGTCTATGAGTAGAAGTGTTGTTATATATATAAAAATATAGTTGAAAAGTTAATTATAATTTCATTTTCTGTTCTGATATTGTGTAAAAATACTGGATTAGTATGTTAGTTGAGAATGCTATTAATTATTTTAGTTGGTTGGGTTAGTAGTTATTCACATTTATTGTTAACTACTTTATTAATATGTTAATAAAGATGTTAAGAGTTTTTAGACTTCTAGTATAATATATAGTCATCTATAATTATTAGTTTAGAAGATCTATTGTGGTAAAGATTGAATATTTAGAGAAGAATCTGGTATATCAAGTTTATGTTTTTGGTTTATGTTATAAATTTTGGATAGTAATTGTGTTAGTAATTGATTTGTAATGTTTAAATGAATTTTTAACATTATGTATAATATTGCCAATTTGTTTAAGGTCCTTGTGAAAAGTTGTTGCTTTAAAAGAAAAAGTATAGAATAAGTATTTAACAATATATTTTCTGTTAAATATATATATATATATTTAACTTTGGCAACCTTACTAATTACCTTTATTAGTATTTAATATACATTTTTGTATATAGTTATATTTAAATTTTGGTTTGATATCTTCTGACTATTTCAAAAGTGCCTAGAGATAGTTTATTACATTAGTTTGGAAATTATCCAAATTCAGAAGTTATACCAAGCTAGCTTTTAAGACAATAAAAAAAGGCCTTTTGTTAGATATATATATATATATATTTTTAATATTAATGATAAGGCCATGTCTTTAATTTTATTAAAATTCAATTTAAGTTTTATAGAGAAAAGCTTGCTTTTAAATTACATATGAAAAATAAAGACTCAGACATATAATCTGTGTCCTAAACTTACAAGAGTGGCCAAGACTCATATATATTTGAGTATTAGTAATAATATATGAGAAAGAAGTATAGTATTTAATCCATTGGATAGTCCAAAGATCAATTTTAGTACTAATTTGTAGTATTAAGATAGGAGATAATAGTAGACTAAAAAAAAGAAATATGAGTTGAGTTTGTAGAAAATATAATTGAAAACTGTGTTGAATGTAAAATACAATATAAAATCCATATTTGTTTATATATTTGTTAGTTTAAATGAAAAAGAAATTTAATAAAAAGAAAGGTAATTATATAATAAGAAATAGAAGTATTTTAAATAGTAGAAATAAGGTCAATAGAGACTAAGCCAGATTAAGTAGAATAAGAGATGGTATATAGGAAAAGTTATGCAGTTTAAAACTGTTAAGTGTAAGAATTTCTTAATGTAAATTAGAAACAAAATTAGCAGACATGTTGAGAGCAGTAGTATTTAAGATGCAGTTAAGAGAATTAGAGATTAAATAATAGATTATTTGACTAGAAGAACAAAAAGTTCAGTGTAATGAAGAACTAGTTTGATTGTATTGATGGCAAAGAAAAGACTAAGAAGAGCTATATTTGTAAAGAGTATAGGAACAGATAGTTTATCCAAGAAAATTTCAATATGAAAGGTTTTTAAAATAGAAAAATGAAAGCTATGGGCAAAGTTAAAAACTTTTTGATTGTTATTAATGTAAAGCCAAGTGGCTTCTCAGTTAATATTAGATGCAATAGTAGACTATTATTAAAAATGATGTTGGAATGTCCAAAATGTTATAATATAAGCTTAACAGATAATGTAGATAGAGTGTCGAATAGGAATCTCAATAGAAAATTGGTTATAAATAAAATATATGCAGAGTTATAAGGATTGTTATTTAAAAATGTTAAGAAAAGTAGTATTTGATAACTATGAGCAAGCTGGTTAGTAAGATTTTAAATAGGTCATCTTTATGTACATAACTTGATGAAAAGTGAACTGAATATTATATAAGTTAATAAAGTTAATAAGAGTTTACCAAATAGAGAAGTATGGAGTATAAGTATAAAAAGGTTTAGAAGCTAATGAACAGATACTGTGGAATTTGGATATTACAAATTATGAGTTAGTAAAGATATGAACAGAACAGTTTCTAGAAACAATAATAATTACTAAAAGAATAGCAAAAATTTTAGTTTTAAAAAAGCATGATGAAAATTTAACTTATATTTAAAATAAGTAATTAGTTATAGAGTTATCAACTTGGACCCTGCCTATGTCTATAGAGTATTGAGAAGTACCAAGCTCAATAACAGAACTATTAGTATAAAATGAGATAGTAGTTAGGTTATAATTAGAATTAGCAATAGACTGTAGGCTGTCAATAAGTTGATCTGATTGGAAGATGTAAGGTAATTATTGTGGATTGATTGTTAATAAAGAAGGAGGTGAAATATGTAAAAGATGTTGAATAGCTACAGAGTATGCAATATCAAGGAAGTTGGCATGTAGGTTAAGAGTTTTGTTAGGATTAATATGACAAAGTAATTTAGTAGCCAAATTTGTAGAAATAAAGATGTTACATTTGTTAGTGATTGTATTAGAATTAAGGCAGCAGTTAGAACATATAATAGTATTAGAGGGAGAGGTAAAATAAAGATTAGAAAATTGAAACTGAAATAAATACTGCCAATAAGTAATAAGAGTAAGACCTTTAGGGCTATTGTGCCTTCTGGCCTTGCCAACAATAATTTGATTGTTGAGAACAGTAAATAATTAGGGTTTGGTATTAGAATTAAAGTAATCAGTAGTATAACAAAAGAGTTTGATTGAGGTAGGTTAAAATGATCATATAATGAATGTTGGTAGGAATAACTTGTAGTAATATTCTTAAAAGTAGTAAACCATTGAGATATAACACTTTTAGAAAGTTTGTTTAGTCTGAAAGAAATATAATGCAAATATAATAAATATAAATTATCATAGGTGGTAAGTTGGTCAAAAAAAGGAGTTTGTGATGTCTAAGTTGTTTTTTAAAAACAGAATATTTAAAATAGGAGAAGAGAAGAGATTTAAAAAAAATAGTTTCATTATATAAAGTATAAGAAATATTATAAGTTGGATTAATTAAGAATATCTAACCAATATATTTAATAAGCTATATAATTTTAAAGTTTGTAGTTAGCTGATTAGAACTATCAATAATTGGATTGGGATGAGAGAAAATGCTGATTGGAGACCAAAGTTTGTTTTGTAATTATTGAATTCAAATACAAATAGATGTGTTTAATAGGTCAGAATTGTTTAAGAAGATTAAGAATATAATGTTGCAGTTGAATGTTTCAAATGTGTTTGATATTATAAATTTGTAGATAAAAAGGGTTCTAGAAGATATTGTATAACAAAGTTTGGCTTTAAATATGATAAGACAATATACTGAATTAAAATTTTGTTGTAAGTTAATTGATTGATTACAATATTTTGAAGTCAGTATTCAAGAGTAAGAATAATCACTATGTTAATAATATAGCAAGAATGTAAGTCAGTAATGCTTTTGGTTTTAGTGATTTGAATTAGTTGAGAAGATTCAGAGATAAGTAATTTTGTTTATTTAAATTGCTTGTTGTTCAAAGTGAATCAGCAATCTAAAAATTTGAAAAGTATTTTAGAAGAATAAAGATGAAAAAGATAGTTATTATAAGAGATAGGTGTATAATAAGATGGAGAATTGTTAGTAACCAGAATGGATTTGAAGGGTTGACTTGAATATTGGTCACAGTATAAAAGAATTCAGTTATAGATAAT